TCACTGTTTGTAGTTCTATGAATATAATCAAAGCTATCAAAAGGAAATCAGTAGGGAGACGACATGACGGGTATTTCAGTATCAGCTACTCCACTGCAATTCCAGGAAAAAGATACCGATTAAGAAAGGTGGGGGGGGGGTAGTAGTTCAATTCATTGTGATAGTACTTTCTTTCAGTTATACAATATACAGCTGGGTGACGGAGACAAAAAGATTCGCAAGGACCGAAATCAAATCGTTCACACTTTGAACGGCCCGACCTGCACCACTCAAAGGGTCCTGACAGAAGGTATTAATCGCGCGACAAGGAACTTCTGATATCCCCAGGAAATTTGAATAAATTAATTTGGTTACATCTAGTTGGCGAAAATTAAGTTAACTACCATTTGGCGAAATTCCTCTGGCATTGGTCCCTTTCGCAACACACTGATTCGTGTTCAATTCGTCCGTATAAAAGAACTTTGAGGCATTGATGAACGGGGCAATCTTTACGAAATGGCTTTGGTTTTGATATACATAGGCCAAAATCTCATGGGGAAGCTGATTGCAAAAGTTTGTACTTGGTATCCACCAGAATCTACGACAGTTTTAGTGATTATGCCAACATGGAGGAAACAATCCAGGCAAAATTGTACGGTTTTTTTCCTTTTCATGCCGAATTCATTCGAAAAGCGAGATGTGAAAGAAATTATTTTTTTGAAAACAACTGAAACATTTTCTTAGTATGACTTCTTATCCGTAATTTAGCTCATTCTGTTTTTTTTGCCCATACTTTTCTTGAGCTTGCGAAAACACACGGAATTCGTTTGTTTCTTTCGCATTGAAGTACAAATGAATTACTCATAAACAAAAAGCTGTATTGGGAAACAGTGACAAATCAGGAGATGGGCCAACAGAGACAACCTGCGAAAGCAGCTCAATACCCACATTCACTGGCCATGATAGTGGAAGAAATAATCAAGACTATGCGTTATGGGTCACTTTTTCATCCGCTTGTGAACAATGAGTACAGGAAACCATTTCGCTATAATCCGATAATCATAAATGCAGGAAAAGAATAAGGTGTTTGATGGGATTACAAGCCCATATATATGCACGAAGTGGTAAGACCAGTCAGTCTGCAATTGATAAGCTAACCAGTGACAGAGGGGCTGATGCCTTTCGGGCGGGGAGAATGATGCGGGTAAACAACCGCTGTGACATGTCTCGTTTTCATACTGACGACTTTTTTCATCTAAGTTAAACGGAAGACGTTTTCGGGAGATTGGAATGGGGTCTGACTATTTAACCCAACGGGGACGTGGTGTCAGCGATAGTTGATCGATAAGCCTTAAGACGAGAATGAATGAACCAGCCTCCAGAAGCCTCAGTATGGTCGGGGGTGGGTGTCTAGGGTTGTGGCTGGTCAACCTTTCCTTGCACCTCAAGAAATGCTCTCATATGATCAACTGCCTCTTATACCCTCTGCTGAAGAAGCCCTACCCACTGCCTTCTCGTAGAGGAGGTATTTTCCCACCAAAGTGACAGGACGAAAAGCTGACATCCGGGGCTATAACCGAGTTGGTGAACCACTGATGGCAGCGGTTACCGGCTCNGGTATCGAGGTTTACTGGGCACCTTGGACGTTTGACCCCGTCCAAAGGGTGTATGATCCGATGAATTGGACACCGGCCCCCAATGGATTGCCGTTTTCGCACACCGCCCCGGCGCCTTGAAAGTCAGGCCTTGGCCAGCCGAAGGCTCCTGTTGTGGATTCCTCAAGAAAATTCACCTGGCTCGGTCTGGGCAACCTGGCAGTATTCGGCCCTCATGCAAATCGTGGGACGTTTGTCTTTTTGGTAAAGATTGTTGTAGTACGTATTTTAAATATATATATATATCTGGCAGAAATTGACCTCAGTCGGTCAGTTAAGGACGCGAATCACATCAAGATGCCTCGAAAAATCTGTGATCATATTCCAATGTGAATGTTGATATGATTCATTGTATGAGTGGGTACAGCCTAACTGTGAAATAGCATAGTTGTCAGGTTACATTGGTGCCAGGGTTTTCTAGAAAAACACCGTTTCCTTTGTGCCAAATGTGACTGACGACTAATTTTGGCTCTTGAAGGCAACACTTAGCAAGATACTTACTATTAGTACTCGCATACAGAGAAAGAACCGGCAGAAATTCACCCGAATGGCGAGACCAAGTTGGAACTCATTTACTAGCTGCAAGAAATTAGATGTTCGCAATGGATTTCCAAGAGTGAATACTGCCTTGTATTTACAATACTGAAAGCAACGACCTGACAACTACAGGTTCTCTTTTGGTTACTCAACTTCATCGCGTGTCCATAACCCTTTGGCATAGTTTCGCATTTTAGGCGTTTAATCGCGAAACCGTCATCGATAAGATATGCGTTTTGAATGAATGAGAACAAGACAAATGGATGGTAACTATCAGTTGAACTCAAATATATTTTATAATTGGAGTTAACAAATCTATGAAACGCAAAGAGGCCAAGGAAGTCCGGGGACCGTCGCTCAAATGGAAAACAGTACGCGTGTTGCATTCGTGAAGAAATCGTTCGCATACTACTCATGAGTAGCAAGAATGTAAATTGAATAAAACTGTCAGTCTAAAGGCGATGCTGATCAACAGACCTGCGGGCCCCCGGCAGTGCGTCAACGCTACCGTTTCCATTAAATTTATAACAATGATGTTCATTTATGATCTGTAAATACCAGAAGAAAGGTCATGCCTCGGGTGAAATGGCATTAGACGAATATGAAACCACAATGCGGGTACCTGTATGAGCATCATATTTCAACATGAATGCACATACATTGAAAACTGCAACACTTTCAGAACGAAGAGTTGCGTTTATATTATACCATTTCAACCAGACGACCTTTAATACTGGTATACGACAGCACCATACGATGGGGGTACCATTTTAATCGAAATTCCAGCACATGAGTGCATAAGCCGAATTTAGTTATCGTTAGTGGCAGAAACCAAGTTATTCGACCAGCAATGTACAACCAAGATAAAAACATTTCTTCGCGTTCATGGATATATGAAGTGGGCCACGAAGTTCCTCATAACATCAACTAGAAACACGTCAGCAGTCGGAGGTTTTAGATTAATTAAATGATTGTTTTCCATGTTTTTAAAGTTTGCTGATTACCGAAAACGAAAGCTCGGCTCTATTTTTTTCTCAGCACATTCATCGGAGAGCAGGAAAAATATTGGTTAATCATGTACGTCCTTATCCACCTTCAAACCAAACGAATAACATACCAGCATCATCATGGTTTACTAAGAATGACCTAACCATTATGAATGGTAGGTCCAGACAATATATGTCACACACCATATCTTGGAGTATTTCGTGATTTACTCACTTATCCGGCGAAATCGATCATATTCATTCCACAATTGTTCGTTATCGGGCAGTGGTTCATTTGCTTTCAACGGTATGGTCCCATGTACCCAACAATAGTCGTTCAGATAATCTTTATACTGCTCCCCGGATGGGGAAACCGGAATGTAACAGCTAAGCGAACTGAACACATATTGTTTGGTTCCGACCACAATTGCAGCAACACAGAAGAGAATCACGGTGAATAGGTTCAAACGATCAGAAAAATCTTCAATACCAACACGATTTGTAAGCGAGATTTTGTCATATAAACCGATGAATTCATTTGCAGCCATGATGAGAACAACCAGGACGTTATAGAACTAAGATAAGATTTCAGAAGTTTGAGTTCCTCTGAGCTTTCCGAACATATAAACACACGAGCACACGTGTGCCAAACGTTTGTTGGAAATCAGTGATCTGGTATTACTCGATCTGTAACACATTTATATCAGGTGAATAATATATCTCGGCATAAGGAGATCCTCTTCAGACGTGTCTGCCACTGTCTATCATGTTAAGGAGTGACACAAGAAGTGACATACAGGGAAACGAGGTTGCATTGGTCCACTTCTGTGCAAATATCACCTGACTTTTGCGGCTTATTGATGCACCATCAAGCAAGACGAATTCATTTCAAGGACCTAGATGTGTGTCTGTCTGTTGGTGTGTGTGTGTGTCTGTGTGTGTGTGTGTACAATGACAATGAGTGGTTTGCCAGGGAGACGAAAAACTTTTGGTTCAGTGTGCAAGTACAGATTAAACACTCGCAAAACAGACGCAACTTTCCACCGATTTCTCTCTCTCTCTCTCTCGTTCTGTTTAACTGAGATTTGACGACCGTGACAGGGCTGATGCAAACCTTCTCACTAAAAATGGTGATTACATTTGAGCATAGAAGAAGCAGTGAAAGATATCAGAATTAGGATATTTTCATCAGTAGATTGCTCAAAAGTAGCTCGTGATATGTTCAACAATGAAAGGACTTCAGGTGGTTCTTGCCTTCAGCAAACTGCCTGAACCTTCCTATTTTACTAAAATTGAATTCTGAACCTTTCTATTCCACTAAAATTGAATTCTGAACCTTCTTATTCCACTGAAATTGAATTCTGAACCTTTCTATTCCACAAAAGTTCAGTTTGCTTGCAGCAAACTTCAATCATATTGACAAAATATAAGGGGTAACAGTCTGATTCAGTGCACTTTGTTCGCGTTATAGCCCAACTCCGGTTCGTCCAGTTCAGTTTAGAGCAGGTCTGCCGGTATACTGAAGTCATACTCCGTTACATGGGTAATACCACCACCGATTTATCCCATTATTTAACGTTTCTTAGGTAAGAGGTGACGTGTGCACGAAATACACAGATAAAGATGCGAACTGCCGTAACTGATTCCGAGTGAAATGGTCACAATTATTTAGCTTAATCTAAGTCGTTAGAGAAATGAGACTGTCGTGAGAGAAATATTAGTTATATGATCTGCTCCCTTGCGTGATATAGTATGTCACTTCCCTTGGGAAAGGTTTACTCCAACACGTTCCAGACTAATTGTACAATCAAAATTACCAGGGAATTTAAACCTAATGAATATCAATGTGGGGAATGGTTTATTCTCATTGTTTCAGTGCGCGTGCGCTTGTATAAGCGATCATTTCAAGCTGTGCGTATCGCCGGTAGGCATTGCTCCCGAGATAAACGGTTTTCGTGCACTAAAATCATCGATTATTCACGCCACGTTGACAAGAAAGTGGAATGATATGCTCCACTCACGTTCAGTGAACCTCGCATGAACCCAGCGCAGATGTGCACACACACACACACACATCTGAAGTTACCGACAATCCTAAGCAAGGGAGGTAATCGCTTCGCCAAACCCCTGACCCCCGAACCCACGTACCTCGTTATTCATCGCTGATTATAAAACACCAAAGAGCACAACTGGAGAATAATGCGATTAAATAAGAGAGCAGTTCATTCAAGAAGAATCAGATTACACCCAACGAAACCGGATCGATGTGTGAGTCTACTAACAGATAAGAGAACAAACAGGATCCAAGTAATCAAGGCGATCGATAGCTTAGGTGAACGGTAACTGTGTCAACGGAAAATCGATCGAGAGAACACGAAGAACGTGTGTAAGTTACGCAGAGATGGAGGTAAAAAATCTGTCATGAGTTTGGAGTTGATTGCTACAGATTCAGTGATTTCCTATTTGAAATAAAAGTACAAGTAGTAAAAGTATTATTGAATGAGACGAAAATGAAGCGATGATAGTAATGTTTCCTGTTGAGTTGCTGGTAACTGACCGCGATAACTTATCGCAATGGATCGAGTTGACATTCACAGCAAAGAATTCTCAAAAATAATGGGCCAGTTGCGCAATACACTCGTACTGACCATATTTGACGGTTCTACGTTCCCGGAAAACATCTGATCTTTTCACAATTTCAACATAAAACTTCAATCTGCCGGAATCCTACTGCATTAGGGTGATGACAATATGACAAATATGCCTGATTACTGTGTCCCTTTCCTCGGCTGAACAATCAACTATACAATCAAATTTTCAAAATAATGAATGTGTCTAAAGAAAATCGTCTACAAGATGGAGGAATTTATAAAGTGACGGTGGAATTAAAGCACACTCCTCAATGAGAAGGGCCATTAAAGCTGTGGTTTTTACCGCTTGTACTTCTTTTTATCAACCAAACCGATCAACATCCACAAACCATCTGTATACCCTATTGTCCACTTATAACCATCGCTTTCTAATCCATTGACTATTCCTAGTTTACTCCCGCTCCACATAAATACCAGCCGCTTCCATACATATTTGAATTATCACTCTCATTCAATTTTGGTGTTTCTTCGTTCATCGTTTTTAGTAAACCTTGGCACAAAACACAAATGTGATTGCTAACTCATGTTCTCAATGCGTCTATCAGATGCGAATCAAACTGAAAAGAGATAAACCATCGATCAGCTACTCATAGGATCCTAGCATAAAAAATCATTGATAAAAACGATATTCTGAATACAGGCAGTGATGGGCTGTTCCAAACTCAGACATTCCCAGAAAGAGAACATTTCTAAGCAAGTACTACCACTAGTTACACAGTTCCTATTTTGAATCTTAGAACCGAACATAACACGGATTAAGAGTTACTTCCAAACTGCACAATCATCAAAGTGGGTGTCAACCTGCTTCATTTTTGTTTGCTCTCTTTTGGCGAGTTATCTCAAATTCAAAGTCAAAGTTTTATTATGGGCGATTTAACAAAGCTAAAGCTTATCATTCCGCATAGGATTTTTACAGAATCTTTTGAATAACTTCACCCATGGAGGAATGTGAGACAGAAAGAGGGAACAGTATGGGCATAACTGTATGTAGTGCAAGGAAATTTTATGTGGGGAAAGTAACGGCATTTTTGAGTGTTGGTGCAGATGACCAAGTTCAAAGAATCCTACATGGATTCAGTGCTCATATCTTTATTAGGTATCACTTCGATGTCCCCTATGGCAAACTAGACCATGCTCAAGAGTTCTTTTTTTTCAAGAATCAGGTCTTAGTATGAACCTGTTTACTGATTAGCCCAACCGTACATCCTCAAACCCAGGATGTGTTTCAATCCAATCAGCAAGGTGTACTTCGAGAGTTCCCTGGTGAGCGAGTCAAAGTATCGTTCCTTGGATCGCTCACAAACTAGTGAAGCGGTGACACCTAGGGCAGAAAGTTTAAAACAGAGTTTGATGGAGTTAACCACGTGATCGAACGGATCGGTAAGCCAATAAATTGTCTTTAGTAATAACTCGAATTTGCTCCCGTCCCTGTAAATCCCAATATCTAACTCAGTATCTGGATACAGTCGTACTCTGTTTGTTGGAATGTGTATTTGAGCTGATCAGTAAACACCGGTTTCCCGATGAAGAGTATGATCAAGGGGCAAAATCATAGATAAAGGTAAAAACCTAAGAATAAAGGCCGAAAGAAAATGTGTGAAGAATAAATAGCCACTAGAAGCGTTTCAAATAAACACTAGGTCAAATAGCCGTGAGATTATCGGTATTGATTTCGGTTCCCTACCAAGCATATGATTATATAATCTCTTTTAAGCTAGTCTCGTGCATTTTATAGGCGTGATGATTACATTCTCGCGCTCTTACTGCTAATTATCCAAGTTAGCTATCAAAATCATCAGCCGTTGCCTAATTACATTACTCAACTAGTCGGAACACTTAGCGTATACGGTTCGTCGAAAAGGGCGTTCAACTAACGAAGGCACCCAGAGCACTGTAGTAAACGGACAATACTTGAAAGCATTTCACCGAGTTTGCACTGTGAGTATACTGCATGTACTCCTTTTGTATCGTTCACACATTCTATGAAATCAGGTCATATGACACATTTTTTACACGATGAGTGCATGTTCAGAAATGCATCGAACTGTTTCGTGGTTGAACTGAGATGCCAATACCCATTGTCCAAGCGCTATGACAATGGTCTGATGTAAACTACGGGTAGCCACGTCTGAACATGATACAATGGTTTGAGAACACGAAGAGAAAGCGTTTTCGGGTCTTATTAGCGACCATCACTGGCAGGTTAAATGTCCGGACTGGGCTTTGTTGCTTAATTTTCACAAATCGTGAACATTTCTCAAACACTTCGAGAGGTTTGTATAGTTGTTGTCATTCTTGTTACAAATGATGATCAGTGCATTTAACTAAGCTTGAGAAGGCTCCACTCCGCCTGAACATATGTGACTCCCGCAGGTTACCACTCCTTATGACTCGTCTATGGATAGCGGTTACCTCGGCGCGAACACTCCAAGACAAGGAGAATATAGCTAAACGAAGACAAATTTGTTATCCCACTCAAGCGAACAATAGCGGACATAAACCACTGGCTGCGGGAGCAATGCTTCCACTTGCAACAGTGATTCATCCAACAATGATATGAAACTCTGCAAGTTCATTTGAACTGGTTGGTGATGTAGCAGCGGCAACACGAACCACTATGGTAGACTAAGTTGAGCAGGCCATGCAAAGGGGCAGAAGATAGCTTTGATTATCCAATAAATGATGTAGCCTCTTTGTGGTAATGTATGCGCTATGTACATACAACGCATTTCAAATGTAAGCGCTGGGACAAACCCAACATCTGACTACTGGGCGTTTTATGGCCGTTCGTTTGACGTGACGTAGCACAGATTCATCCGGGCTATCGAACTACAAATCAAATATATTAAGTAACCTGGTTAATTGTTGAGCACTACGTCGAGTATGATCGACGTGAAAAAACCACCAGAGCACTCCCGGACAGTTTCGCAATAATGTGATGGACTCAACCGCGTACATACAGAGTCATCGTCACAGGCTCGGTTAATACACAATACTGACGGTTCCTAATATGCTGGGTGAAACAGCTGTACTGAGCTTCTGAGGCTCTCCAGAGGTATGCGTATCATAACGATAAGTATGAACAATACCAGTTATCATTCCGCTTTAAAGATGCAAAACACATGCAAACTTGAAACCATTAGGGCGGAGCATATTTTTAGTCCTCTTGATGTACGCTAACACGAAAGTGGCACGCCACTTGACGTTAATCAATATGCCCCTTGAGTACCTGTGATCTGAGATAAACGTGTCATTTGTGCGGTTTCAACAGCTATTGATCTATATTATCAATAAATATGTGCGTGAATGGATAACCGCTTTGGAAAATCAGACAGTCGGCTACAAGTACACAGACTAACCACTCAAAACTGACAAAGAGTAACCAGTATATCGTTCTCCGAAGAACACAAACGGATGCGAATGCATACGTTTTATCTGGCTTTGTGAACAATCGATGCAACTGAGCCTGGATCTCAGATTAAATCTTTCATCCTTTCAATGAGCAACATTTACCGGTACAAGGAAAAGAAACAATTCCCGTTGAACGATGGACATTTTGCACGACTTATTCCTAATCGCATTGTTCGCCTTTACTATTGACATAATTGGGTGAGTATAAAACTGCAGACTTATGCCAAGACGAAATCAGGGACAGAAAATATGTCACTGTTAAAACGTCGATGAGTAGTAAAATTGTGAGTGAGTGAGTGAGTGAGACACATAAAGCGAAAGAACCGATAGGAATATGACCGGTGGTGTATGAACGAATGCAAATCATCCGTGATTTGCATAATTGTCAATACAATAACCAATCCAAGCACAAACACATTCGCTCACATTCTGACAGGGCTTCAGACGGACTAGCAAGTTAACACGGACTGAATGCATATGTTAACACGATGAGTCCATTTTTCTCAGAGAAGGGGGGAGCTGATAACATGAAATTCGTTCGCTCATTTATTCTCAAAACAATCACCTTGCAACAAATCGATTTATTTCAACTAATACGGATGTTTGGCGCACTGATGTCAATGGCATTAAACCTACGTAGGAGTCCAGGATGACTGAAAACCAGTCTGCTCAATAATTGGTTCACGCACGCAATCGATCACAGTTCGTCTGAATAGGTTACGTAATAGCACATTCCGAAATCAGCTACAAGGACAAGCCAACCGTTTCTTTAAAAAATATGTATTTATCAGAGTTCTGGTTAATGTGTATACTTTCACTTATGCAATGGTAAACTCCCAAAGCAGTTGTTTAAACTTTATCTTAAATAAGTTTGCTCAAGATAAACTGCTGCGATTTGATTGGTTGTTCACTGTTATGACTGGCACAAATAGTACCAATAAACAAATCATCCCGGACAATGGCAGCTGGATCAAAATCTAGCAGTTTTGTTCATGTAAGTCCGATAGAATCTATCGTGTCTGGGTATTCATCGTGTAGGCTATTCGTAGAGGATCACTTTCCTCCCAAGATGTTAACGATAAAAATACCTAGGATAACATTCACGTCCTAAAATTAGAAATATACGATTTATCATTTGTTTTTGCCCTCAATCCTCTCCTCTCCCGCCTCCCCATACTGTCTCGTCAGTTTTGGGATCGCTACCTGTCGTATTCCCTGCATCCGGTTTTTGGAATATGGCATTCGTCACATTCACTCATGACATTTCCAATACAGGTCGATAGATTTGCTCTGACGAACTTTTACAATAGGATTACAACAGCCTAATATTGTTTTACCTTCTCCTAATCCAGGTTCTTAATGCCCTGAAAATGGATTTTATTCTAAAGGTAAGTCGATGTTATTGCTGTCATGATCTCTTAGCATATGTAATACAAGGTATAAAGTAGTAGTCGCGACAAAACTGACTTATAATCCATTGTGGAGATAATTAGCAACGGTCGTGGTAAGCAAGTAGTTTAAGCTGTTGTCACCGGCGCGCTACGTGCTTTAAGATGCTCGGTTTGAATGGTCCCACTCCCACTTTCACAGTTCACTGACTCAATTCCACACACTTGATCCAGGAGGTTGTTATTCAAACCTTTCTCTCGAGCGACTCTTACCTGACCCGATATTCTCCCCTTAAAACCTGAGTGCAAAATTCTGCGTATCGAAAGCGACGATATTCATGAGCACAACTCAGCCATACACAGGGATTCGTAATGTATTCCTGATGAAAATGATTTTTGTGTCTATTCCCGTAATATTTTTCCATCAGGCATGGTGAATTGCACTCAGAGCAAATGATTGCAAAAACTAAATTTCTGTAACTAATGGGTGATAAAGTTATGGTCAAAGAAGAAAACGGGTCGATAAACGATGAAAATTTAACAGTCTGTCTGGGTATCACGGAACAGGTATTCGCTTCAGTTGATCAGTACAGCTAATGTGTTTTCATCTGTTTCGGGCCTGCTCGTTATCCTAGAATTTCGTCCTTCCATTAGACAGGTCAACTAGCGTTGCGAAAGAATCAATACCGCGAGAAACATTGTCAGGAGGTGGATCCAGTGATCGTGAATTTGGATCGCCATGAGCCGGAATTTCATCGAACTTCCTTTCTTCTGTTCAAGATATCCTATACGTTCTGTCCTTAGATATCTGGATGCATTCCGTCAAACATAAATCAAGGTATGATTCTCGCAAAGCGCACAGGGGACAGATAACACTTGCCACCAACCGATAAGTTAATCATTGAGCTTTTGAAAAATTGTGCTTCATCTAAATGTGTGCATGTGTTGTTCCATAACTTTTGTAAACACTACCCGAGGATCGTGACCACATCTTTTCAATGGTTTTAATTAACCATGTGTAGGCCTGTTCCAAAGATAGGATGCACAAGCTTTGGTCGTTGTCGAAAGCTTCATTACGTGTAATTGCAATCGTCGGATAAATGGCGACAGTGTTCGCAATTGGTTTATCGTAGGTGAACAGACATAAACATAGTAAAAACTTGAAGGTAAATGGTCCAATTGTTGTTATACCGAAAGCTGTCCATTTTCAAACAATTTCTAAAATAGGCATCCACTTATTGGCCACAGATCGACTGAGATTTTATGGAACCCACTGAATTTTATTCCGCCATGTTAGCGCACTTCTCGGGATGATGACGCCACGGTTACAAAAACACAAATATTCCGCTAGGGAATTGGAGTGACGATTTGCCTGTTAATAAAGCAGTTTCAGTGAGCATGCTTCTGAGAAACCGGTTAGAAATAGGATGGAGGAGCTACAAGTGATGGTCAAAAGTAACAAATTTAATGAACCGGATAAGTTTGTTTGAAAACCCTTAGGTTTGCACTATGAACAACTCTGTTGATATGTCGATGAGACACATAGTTCTAGTAAACAGGAAGCTGCCAATTTGATTGACTTTGTTGAACATCAAAAATAAACTAGACTGAAGTTATCAGTTACATGTGAAAAATGTAATCTCTCTCTAGTACAGTTGAGTGAATCACATTTAACGCACTTAGACCGTATTCACAATCAGTCCAAATTACCGCGTATTTTGCACCCCGGGAAGATAAAAACGGAGTTATCCAAATCCAGGGACGCCTTCTAGGACACCTGTATGCTTTTATCGACGTGACAGTATAGCTCAAAAACTGGGTGACCGTAGACGACCCACAACGCTGCTCAGATTTCTGTTCACATCAGCTCATGGCAGAGCGGACGGGACCTAATTTGGTAGTGGTGGGACCCAGGATAGAAAATCACACTCCTTCCGACACACCGTAGAGTGATGGAACATAAATAGTGAACCCCATGGTCAGTTGGACTTAGTGACCGGTTGTGGGAACCCGCAACTGAAGCGTTCGTATTCAGAGTAGCAAATTGCATAAACGTCAGTATGAAGGGTGTGGTATTCAGTCGAACGTTGGCAAAGTTGGTTACCACTGTATAGATATAGGTGAAATGCGATAGCCATGGTTAGTAATGACAACAGTGTGCCTTGAACACAGTCGTAGAAACCAAATCAAGCGGCACTTTGATTCGCGATGTTAGCCCATTGCAAGCTCAAATAGAAAGTACTCATTCTTTCTGAAGGCAACTTGCTGCAGTACGATCAAATGAATTATGCAGTAGATTTAGTCGCTCATATCGGCTAGAATTCGCACATGTAACTGATTCAGGGAGGAATGGAAAAAATTTTTGTTGGTGGCCACAAGGTGCTTCACCCGATGTGTGCGTGTGAATTCGAAACAAACAACCACTAACTGTATCATCTGGTTGAAATTCGACTGGTATATCCGTTCAGTATTATGACAACACCACACCTAGCCTTATGTGGTTCACTACTCGACGGTTCCCAAAACAGGACAGGGTCAAATTAATTCTTCTTCATATTACGTGCTTACGGAGTTCTTACACGAATGAATGGAGTGGGCACAACTTTCAAAGCTGAGTATGGGGTTTGTAGTATAGTACCGCAGGTCCATGCCCTGAGAACATTGGTTTCGTGAGTTTGGCTTTAGCAACTATCGGTTCATTCCTGCTGGATGACTTTTCCAGGAGAGTTGCATAGTTTGCTGGTAAGCAGCTCCGCGGTTATCCGTTCTAATGTCACGCTTATCCTAGTGAAGCCTGAATCGGTCAGCTTTAGTCTAAGGGCTTAGAATATAGTTTGCTATAATTAAACCCACAATCAGATGCATATCATCAACTGATCAACACTATTATGTAATTAACAGAAAACGCTCAACTCGTGAAGAAGTAATTTTACGTTAAGTGTAAGTGTTAGTTACCTAAAACTGGAGTGCAAAGCTGCCTTGTCTCATCTGAATGCTTCATTATATATATATATATATATATATATATATATATATATATATATATATGACCAAGATAATCGAATAATCTGGGTCATTTGGTTGTGGATCCTCTCCCTCTCCGTGTAAACAGATGTCCCACATGACCGGATACTATGCTCACTCAGTGATGAGAAAACCCCCTTCTCAGGTAAAATACTGTGAGTGGATACGTCGTTGAAAGATCATTTCTAAAATTAGCCGAGACGACAAGGAAAAGCGACCCTCAAGTGCTATGATAATGAAGCCTTTTCCCGTTTCATCCCACAGTATAAATGGCCCG